AGATAGTACTAATAATAAATAAAGTTAAGTAATTAATTATAAAGTAATATATATATATATATATATATATATAATGGGTCCCAGCCTAAAGAGGGGCCCAGTCAGCTTTAGCTAACCATTAAATCCACCCCTGTTGTTCAGGTTTAATGGCATAAAGCATCAGAGTTATCTGCACCTCTTCTACTGCTCTCTTGAATTTTTACCCACTACAGAAGTAAGACTAACTGGCTTATAATTTCCAGTGCAATTATTATCACCTACTTTAGTTGAATGTTAATATGGAGTTAGTATTAGAGAAGGAATGTTGACTATAATTCCAAATTTATTACACGTATATCTACATGAAATGTTTCAAGCTGGTAGTAAAATGTACAAGTCTGTTGTATACAGAAAATTTGATGTGTTACAAAAGTATCTGCACTCGAGATAAGTTTGTGAATTGATGATGTCAACCTGTTTCATACTCTGACAAGTCAGAGTGCAGGGTGATGTTTGTCTGAGGAATAAAAATACTTTTGTTCATTGTACAGTTTGCATATTATACTCGCATAACCTCCAAAATGCATATTTAAAAGTTTTTTCAGTGTTCCTGTATACTTTATCTGGTATTTACTCTGTTATGAACTGTCACTAAACTAGCAATATAGGATAATATTAATAGTTGATAACTCTGACATCAAGTACACATTACCATGTTAAATAGCACTCTGGCATTTTGACCCCAACTCACGTACATTGCATTAAAAAAATGAGTAAAATCAACAACTCAGGCACTTGTCCAATGTCTATAGGCAAACCAAAAAGAAAAACTTGCATATATGATCTCTGACCTCCTTTAAAACCATAGGTGAAACACTATTTAGTCTTAATTCTTTATCTATTTTTAAATATTTCAGTCTGTTTGCTTAAAATTAATAGATTAATATCTGTATGATTCAAGTCAACTTTAACTTTTAAGCATTCCTACAGAATGCTCAGTCTGGAATATTGTTAACTATCTTACCTTTTAAAAACAGAAAAGAACAGTTAAAAGCTCAACCATCTCATCACCTCCAACAAAAACCTTGCCTTCATCATCCTTTAATTCAAGGGTCCATTTCACATTACATTACAAGTCATTTCTCAAAAGTCCTTTTTATTTCCCAATTTCTGTTTTAAATCCCTAGATTTCCTATCGTTCTGCAAATCTTTTGTCAGATATGTTATATGTCTTAATGTTGTCATTTAGCGGTTTATCTCTGATTTTCTCTTTTCATATTTAAGTACCTAGTAAGCCAGTTAAGGTTGAAACTCTGTTAAATTTATCCTCGCTCTTTTATTTAACTTTAACTTTAAAGTTTAAATATTATTAATAAAACGCCTATAATGCTATATTGAATTACATTTTAAATGAAATATATATTTCAGAAGTTTCCATGCCTAACCCACATCACTTATTAATACATTATCTTAATTCTCTAATGATAAACTTTGTCTCATGGCCTCAAATTCGGTTTTAAAAAATCCCAATTCACTGACCCTGGTTAATTTATAATTACACTTAACTTAAGTCTTAACTGCCCTAAGTGTGGTCGAATTTCTGAATCAGTGAATGCAACTTGCAAGAAAACTTGGCCTCTGGGTACTTACTAATACTAGTATTACTACTATTAGTAAAATATCACGATGAATTGTATTAAATGTTTGTTGTAACTAACACTACAAGTTTTCTGATTACCTTATCATATTACAGTATATATATATATATATATTCCTTTATATTAATATTTAAGTAAACTTACCCTCGATGCTAAATTCAGTTGGCCGGTATAACTATAATACAACGAGAAGTTCGATATGTTACTTTTCACTGTAGCAGCTAGTATAGCGTAAGGGAGCGTTTGTTTATTTAGAAACTTTTAATATGTTTTCAATGTAATTACATTTCATAAATCATAAAATAACACATAGATAACAAGAGCACATTTGGCCTTTCGTGACTGTACGTACGCCCCACCTCAAGAAAAGCGATAGTAAAAATTAAACATATTCTTTATTTTTTCCTGAACCGATTTCCTTCTTAAACGTTTGAAAAGTGCCGGCTACCATTAATGCCGACGACTTCTCTGTCTTAATTGAAATCTAGTCTGTTTTTTTCGTTTATCCAAATCTTAAACTTGTGTCCTTTCTTCATGCATATTATATTCAGAATACAGCACAAGTAAATTAAACTTTTATCCCATCGATCTCAGTGATAATCTTGTAAATTTCAATAGAATCATCTCTTACCCTTCATTCCTCACAAGAAAATAAGTTAAGAGATCTTCCCCAAAAGATAATCCTTCCATCTCCGATTAGGCTATCTCAGCAGCGCTCTGCTGAACCCTTTTCAGTAAGTCAGTATCTTTCCTTAGATAAGGATACCAAAACTGTATACAATATTCTATGCGAAGCCTAACTAGTGATTTGAATGAAAAGATAATTAACTCTTGCATGACTTATAATCAACGTATTATAAATACTAAATCCATTTTAGTTTTACTACTAACATCAGAGAATTATCTCGATGGCTTGCATGAATTACATACCACTGGGACAGACTATATATAATGGGAAGGGGATAGATCTTTTTCCGAAAAAAATTGGACCTTTTAGATTTTTTAAAATATTGGTATGGTCGTTTGACACCATCCCTTTCCATCTTTCTGGCTTATAAACCCCTAAGCCACATTTGGGGTAGGAGTAAAGTCACACATAAGGCCCGTACGCAGAATGTTTGAAAGGGGGCTCTAATTTTATGCGAAGCACAATCAGCATGCTAATGCTACAGTGAGCTGGGAGCATGCACTCCAGAAATTTTGTAAAAAAAAAAGTTCTATGAGATTAAAACTGGAAGCAATTCTGAATAAAATATAGCTTAAACAATTACAATGGCTATTTACATAAAATCTACAAACATCCAACGAAAAGTCAACAAATCATCATTCAGTTGTAACACTACATGGGGAGCTAGACTTAAATTAGCATAGATATGTATGTTTTATCATAGAAAAGTACTGTAGTATCTACATACAGAGTAGTTAGTAATTGTTAAATTATATTATTAATTTAAAGAACTCTGTACTACAATAGTATATTATCAACTTCACTCATTGGCTATCATATACGTACATGTATGCACTAATGAAATAACATGTTAGCATACCCAATTCTTCTCGAATACTTTTCCATAAATAACTTTACACACAGTTTCAATGTCTATAGCAGTGTCATGATGATTGTGTATTAAAGCTAGAGCACTCAGTCTTTCTTTTACTGGCGGATGTTTTTTTTATAGCAAAGCCACGTCGGACTATCTGCTGTGTCCACCGGGGGAATAAAAACCCCTATTTTGGTGTTATAAATCCGTACACTTACCGCTGTTCCACTGGTAAGTCAGATGATGCTTTGAGGACTTATCCTACTTTATTTTGCTATCGAATTGACAAACAGTGACGAAATTAATTTGTGTACACTTATGAGGATCGCATTACACTATCTTGTATGAAGGTTAAGCTCTTCTACATTGTGCCTAGTCTTTCTTCAAGTTCAGTCAAAGTCAGAGATTTCAGATGCAACTCCGTGATACATTTCATGGAAATCAAGCTATTATAGTTATCACACTTATCTCTATTGTTATCAGTATATCTGTGAATATCACATTTAACAGGTATATAAAAATTGCCACCTTACCATAAAGATGATCCATTATGCGTGTATGTGAGCATCACCATCCAGATTTGGCTGGCTCAATTACAGTATTGTTGGTATAGTAACTGTTCAACAGTGTACAAGGGCTATTTTGTTTGAAGATTTTCGCCCGATAAGGGGGCATAAAATAAAACCCTAAAAAAGGCACATTTCCACTTTTAGTTTCCATCACCTACAGTTAACTGGCCCGATTACCATAGTTTTTTTTGTATAGTAACTGGAAACTGCTCGATGGGGTACATGGGCTATTTTGTTTTAGGATTCTTGCCCGATAAGGGGATATAAAAACTACAAAATACCACTGAAATACGGCATATTTCCATTTTTTGTAAATAACCTATTTAGCTTTCAATTTAAAATACAGGGACTTAATCAGTTAAATGATTCAACTAGTATCTTCCACAAAGCATCTAATGAGGTCATTAAAGATTCAATAAAAGAAAGAAAGATGGAAAAGGAACATTATTTAACATTGTTTTTTACAAAATATTTGTTTCCTTAACGGGTACCCTCAGTTAGTATAGATAAAAATTAACTGAATGTTGAGTGTAGGAAATATGATCATTGTTTGAAAGTTCTTAAGCTTAATGCTGTCTCTGTCTTTATAGTCTATTTTACTCAAATCTAATCTGCAGTCTTATTAATCTTTGAAAGTTAATCACACAAAGAATTAAAATTTATTCAAAAAAAAGTAATGTATATATAATAAGAAACACAACACTTTTGTGAATTCAGCTAAAACATTTTATTTATATTACAAAGTGATGAGATATTACAACATATTTTACAGTTTATTAGTGGTATACACAATATACAATCTATGGTATGGGTTTATTTACACATGCTTACATCAGCCACAGCAGCCTGAGCAGTTCTTTTTAAAACAGGCTAGAACACAAACAGGCACTTATGAAGAGGAAATTAAACTTCCTCCAAAGATAATGGTGGTTAAATCTTTTCCTCCTACAACGATCTACAATGAGATCTTTCTCCACTTCAATGTGGTTTCTTTTAAGGACTATTTTTAAAAATTTTAAGGTGTACAATGGTGATTCTAAATTTATCAGTAGACAAGCAATTACATGTTACAGTAGTACAGTTCTCTAAACACATTTATTTTAGTAAAGAATCATAAAACATACTTAATTTAAAATAACCAATAAAACTAAAAACAAAATACTGTTTCTTGTTTTATAGTCACTAAAAGTGAAACAGTTGGAATCCTAGCCAATATGTACTTAAGTCATAATGGATGTTTAAATTTACACCTTTGTTAATTTTTATCTATGTATCAGGACACTTGAGAAAATTGCCTATATGCCAATCAAACATATATCAAACATTTCTGAGACATTAGTCCCACAAAAAATTAGCTATGATACTTTCTAAGCAATGCCAAATTTCTATGTGCAAAACACATACATTAATGCAACTTTGGTAAAACAGGTTATTAAACCCCTTTTATTTTTTACATGTACAACTGCAACTGTAAAAAACAAAATAAAAAATTGCTGTGATAATACTTGCTACCTATAAAAACTAGCAAAAAACATTTCAGTAATTATAATTAATTATTACTAAATAAAAAGGTGAAATAATAGATAATTTTTTACATTTTTGCAGGTATGTATTTTTTTTATACATACGTTTTGAAAGATGGCAAAATCAAGTTTATCTTTCCAAAATGATAGTTCTTCAAAATTGGTGTAATTACTACACCATTTTAAAATTTATGTGAGCATTAGAAATATTCTAAGGATATATATAATCTTAAAACAAGTTTTAAACTTCATAAACAAAAAAAGAAAAAAATACTTTAGGCATTTTACTGCAAATTTACAAGTAATCTTTTCACACTTAGAGCTTCTTGCAGTTTTTACATACTGTCAACAATTACACTTAGATTATTTGTGTCAGTTGAGTCACTATTTTTTATCAAAATTTTCTGCACTATGCAATAAAAACAATGAAATACCATTTCTGAAAAATGCTTAATCTTATAAACTGAAAAAGGTACAGGTCATGAATTTGGATCTCTATCACAGAAAATTATTTAACGATACAATAAACTTTGTTGTTCAGTAAAAACTCAGTATTTATTTAAATTTACCACAAATACACATCTGGATTTCAACATATACAGATGACAATGACATCTATTTTTATACAACAAAAATTAATGGTTGAGTAAAGTAGCAATGTCATTAAATTTTTACAAATATGGCTGGATATCAGAATGTAGTACTAGTAACAGTTTTGAGAAATGGCTTTCTCTTTAAGAAGGAAAAAAAAGGAAGCACTGTATAATAATTTAAATGTTTTTAAGCTATCTTGCTGAATGATGATCCAATAAAAATTTGTACATCTGTAAACAATTTGAGTACATTAAAAACTGCAACATTTATCATAAAAATAAAGTGTTATTTTAAATAATTTAGTTGTAGCTTTAGTATTCTATAACTTATATTAACACCTTTTTGTTCCTTAGTTAAGAGGTTAAAATTTGTTATTTATATTTCCTGTCGTCATACAAAACTTGTTTGAGGATTATAATTTCCTAAGAAAATGTTTCAGGTATTTTCAGTCTTTTTTTTAGGCTCATTCTTGTTTTAATACTAAAGGCTGTTTTCTATCTTATTTGTCTCTGTAACATTTCTACTTGGCAAGAGCTATAAACATTCCACCCCAAAATACATGGATCAGACATATGAAACTTGAAATCATTATTTTGTCAATAATATCTCTGTTTTTAAGTCCAAAATGTTTTCTGTGATTTTAAACAAATCTTTTTTTCATTTTTGCAGCTGACATTTGACAGACTCAACATTAGGGGAGATAGCTGGACCGATGTAGTCACTGGTTATCCGCTTCAACGTTCAATCAGACCTTAACCTTATTGGTTCTCAGTTTCACAGGTTTGTTGTTTTCTAAGCCAAGTGACAATGGCTTGAAACTTTTTCCTCATTATGCTTACACTACTGCTGTCACCTTGTATTACTCAACTGGTATATAAAAGGACTATTTCTGGATGGGGGGGATGGACTATTATGTGAAGCAACTAGTGTCTTTTCAAAATCTTCAAGCAACTTGATTAGGCTCTTTCTTTTGAACCTTCCTGCTTCCTGAATCACCTCACGAACCATGAAGAGCTTTGTTGGTAAATCCCCCTTGAAATTCTTCAGGTGATCAAAGACACCACTAAAGTCTAAAATGCATGCATAAATATAAGTATTTACTATAGAGTACAAAAAATAGACTGTTAAAACATATTTGAAAAACAAAACAACAGAAATAACATTTTTTTTAATAATTTGTTTTAAAGCTTGCAGGTTTAAAAGGAAAATTAACAACTACTTAATTGCATAAGAGGATAAGACATATTCCATATCTGTATTAATACAATACAGAGATCAAAAACGATAAATATAGAAAAAAAAATATTTTACATTAAAAAACAAGTTACTTACTTAACTAAATAATTCCATATTTTATAAGTTCTATTGGTTAATAGGAGGTTAACTTTGCAAAATGGAGACTTTAACTAAAATAGCTCAATAAAATAAAAGCAAAGCATTTTTTATAACAAAAGCTTCACACAAATGATATTCAAATTTTAAAGCCACTTACTTCTTCCAGGCTTTCTGACTTCTTTGAATAACTTTGTTCTTAATAAGGCATTTTCCTTAGCACTTCTAGCATCTGTGTAATTATAAGCAATCCCATTTCTTCTGTCATATGGTATTCCTTCATTATCTGTATTCTTTACTGCACTTACATGATTAGTTATATGATTTTCTACTGCTCTTGTTGACTCTTGTGACAAATCTTCTTCTTCATCTGTTAAAAACAAATTACAATTGCTTGAATCCAAATACATAAAGACAATTATTTATCAAAAGTATAAACCATTTTGTAACCATATCATATTTCAACCAGATACCACGTCTATAGTCTCCATTAAATTTTGACATACATGTCCTCCATTTTTCTGTAAGGTTCATCACAATAATTCAGAAAATGTACTTGTGGTTACACATTGGCCTGTGTGTAGCTACTTTTAAGAGCATCAAGTTATTTGTCTGGAAGTGGTGTCCATACAGATTGTTCTTACAAGGAGTGAAAAGACTGAAGTTTCAATGTGCCAGTTCTGTACTTTATATATCAATAACTTGAATAAAATGCACTGATTAAACAAATGTAGTTATCACTTGCCATTTTGTTAATGTTCCGTATGCCACCTATTATGAAAATACTCAACATATGATGCTGTTGTTGCTAATAGTGGATGAATACTGACCTATTCACACAATTATTCTTTGCCCAAAATTTATTCATATTCAGTTTATGGAGTAAAAAACAAACAATCACTTTCTTTAATAAAAACTAAAACACACCACAATATTAAAATGTATTGTACAACAAAACATAAAAAAGGCCATCAAATCATGTTGGACATTCTCTACATGTTTCGATGATGACCTACACTGCCATCCTCAGGGGAAATAAAGAGTTACAACAAGAGACAGCTTATACACCGATAGACTGCAAGGCTACAAAATTAAAACAATTTATCATAATTAGCCAACTTGTTACATCTTCTATAATTAGAAGATGTAACAAATAGATTGCCAAAAATTAATTTTTATAATACCTAGACCCCAAGACATTTATTCAGAATGAAACTATAGTTTTCTATAACTTCAAAAGATTATCTAACATTTAATTCGTTTTTTTTTCAATTTATCTGATCAACCAAATGAAAATTATGCCAACTTACAGAGTGAGTAAAGCTTGACATGTGTTTAACCAAAGCCAATTCATTAACTTCATTCACAGCATTTTTATATTCCTTAACTCCAAATTTCCAATTTCTGCATGTTTAACCAATGTAACTTAAACTGCTGTTACATGGAATTTTATAGATAACACATTTTTCAACTTGTTCTATGTTGTCTTTAAGGACACTCATAAAATTGTTTAACTTATAACAGGGAAAAAATTTTACATTACAATTGATGTGATTTTTAAATATATATATATATATATATATGTTATTTGAAAACAAGTAAAGTGTGTGCTGTATATTCATAGTTGAATTTATTGCTAACATGTCACAGACACCTACTGTAGAAGAATCCTAAGCCCTACAACAACATAGTATATATTTATACTATTAAGAAATATAAGTAAAAGCCATTTATTTTGACAATTGGCAAAAAGAAGAACTTATATATATATATATATATTTTTTTTTTAAATCTGACATTTAAGTTTCAGTACCATAATGCAGACATACAATTTGGATCAGTTAGGTATCCACACTCTTCTACAACTATCCTGTGTTCTGTGTGGCTAATATTCTATAGTGGAGGAAATTGTGGCAAGAACATTTCTAGGTACGAGATGATTT